AGCTCGTAGGGTTCTGGTTGTGGATTCAAAGTTCTTGCTAGTACAGAATGATAAACTTGGAAGAAGGAATGAGGATGTCTTTTAGTTGCATTTTGGTCTGTCTAGGTACCAGGCACCCCTAAAGCCTGACCAGTTGCCTTTTTTGACACATTTTAAGTTTATGTCTTGGAGTTTTTGAGGTCAGAGGCACCAACACTTCTTCCTTCGATTGGGTGCTTTCCGTGAGTGCATGGAGTTCTTTGGATCCACTTTTGGTCCAGTTTTCTGCAGATATGCTGTTTGCAACCAAAGATTTGTAAACTTGGCACCAAGCCAGCTGGCTCCATTTGAGCCATCATGGCCACACAGTGATTGCCAAGATTTCATGCAAAATGATGAATTTGCCTTTTTAAGGTTAGGGGTGGAAGGGTGTGGCTTGGAAAAGTTGCCATGTTTCTTTGTATGTCCTTTTCCTTCCTATGAACATTTGGTAGTGGTGGCCCTGGAGGTCTCTTGATTATTTTTCTTTTAGGAAGGAGGAAGAGGCCTAAGACTACAGTGCCCTTCACTTCTGTTGATGAAACAGTAGTCCAGGGCTTGCTGTTGCAGAGCTGGGGAAGGGGGGTGAAATTTCTTCATGTTCTTTGTTTATGTTGAGTTCTAGGGAATTTGGTTTTTGTTTGCTTTGTCTTTCATTGAGGTATAGTTGACAAATTCATTAAAATAAGTATTTGGATTTTTCAAACTTTATTTTTCCATTTCTTTGGTAGTTTCCTGGAGACAGCGTGGTCACTGGACGGGGCCGAATCAATGGAAGATTGGTATATATCTTCAGTCAGGTATTTCAAAATTCCAATAGCCTGAGCCTTCCTGGAAGGTTGAGCCAGGAGCAAAATATGTGAAAGAAAACTTTGGGGAATGAAAACTTGCTTTTAGTTTGAGGCAGATGAGGGATTTACTTTCTGTTTTTCAGTGCATATGTCCAGAGTATTATACAATATGTTTTTTTTTAGGGAGGAAGAGTCCTTAGTCTGTTTGGGGGAGGATCACAGGGCAGTAGGCATGTACGAGTTGTCCCAGGAACCAGGATTTTATTCCAGGTGAGGTTCTTCTTGGCAGCGTTGGGTGTATGCCTGGAGGGCATCTGGGCAGTGGTGTGGACCTGAGAGAGTGCAGCAGATGCAGCCTGGGAAAAGGGGACTTGATTCTCAGAACCATAGGTCCCTGAGCTTTGGGCTTTCACAAAAATGTTCAAATAAGTTTTGTCGGACTGCATCAAGACAGATAAAGTT